CTGCCACCGACGCAGTCTCGCACCTTGTCCTGCCAATGTTTATTTTGCTTGGGTAAACGTTTGATTTTAGCAACATGACTGCAATGTGTGAGCTGTGCTGGGGCTGTAATTTAATGGGAGGAGGCAGCTATGTGCAGGGAGAGCTGCTAATGCCGCAGGCATGCCACGCTTCCTTGGGACGAGAAAAGATGGCACCCGGGGCCTTTGGGGACAGCACGGCTTGTCCTCCTCAGCCCTGCTGTCACTGCACACCTGGGGGGGCTGAGACCCAAAGCAGGGTTGTGCCTTGAGTCAGGGCTCGTGTAGCCCAAATAAATGGGATTTCTGAGGGAAAATCGGCTGTTTCAGTTATTGCAGTGAGGCTCCTACCCAGGGCTGCTGGAGGACCCTGAGGTGCTGTGGGGCTCCACCGCCTGCCTCCTGTCAGACTGGGTGAGATGGGAAAGACGAACCCAGTCCAACTTAGGAATGGCTTTTATTCACATTTCCAAAGAAAATTGAGGTCATCTTTCTGCATGTGCCTCAGAGTGGCCATCAGGATGGTGGGGGGGAGGAAGGAGTGTCCCTTCAGGACAGCTGGGGTGTGAGCAGGGAGGTGAGGGACTGCCCCTCACCTGCAGATTTCAGTGATGGCATACGCAGTTGTTAAGTCACATTTCGTCACTAAAATGCTGCGGAGGCTCCAGTTAAACCAGCAAGCACCAGTGCCGACTCCTGAGCCCACTCACCATGGCAGGGGTGAGGAGATGCAACATGGCAGCTCCCCACTGAGCACCCGTGGCCCTTTTGGCCAGGCTTTGCTGCTGGGCTGGCAGCAAAATACCTCCGTGGAAGCTTAAAGCTCCAGCTGTGGTGGCACCTTCCCAGACGTGGCTTGTGGGCACTCCATGCGGCCCCATTAGTGATGAGTACACGACCGGGGTCAAGCTCTCGCTAAACCTCCAAGGAACGACCATCTGAGGCACTCGGTATTAACGCGTTTTATTTTCCCAGCGGCCACCCTTCTCAGCACTCCGTCTTCATGCTGGTAGCAAGGGGACTTAGCCAAGGAGATGAGATGCAGAGCTGGAGGGGTTTAGGAAATTCGGTCTGTCAATCTGTCCTCAGATTTATTCAACTCCCTTCATAAACTCCAGGAACTCTGCCAAGGGGAAGACATTGGAGACAAGGGGTGTGAGGTGGGACTAAAGTGCCCTTGCAGCTCCTAAGCATGCTCTTGGCAGCTTTCCCCAGCCCTGTCTCCTTTTCTATCTTGCTGATACACAAGAGGCCAAGGGGGGGATGGCTACCGCTCCTCTGGCCGTGGCAAGGACTCCTCGTGACTCCCACTGGAAATGTCACTGGAGCCCAGCATCACCCTTGGCTGCCACCAAAACACCGGAAGTGAGTGCCCATGGAAGGACACGGCCACCGGCTCAGCTTGGAAATGGTCTGGGGGGTCACTTCAGCAGCATCATGTTCATAGATACAGCCCTTTGGAGCTGGTGCTTGTGTTTAGGGGGCAGGAGGGGATGGGCAGGTATCTGGTGAAAAGCAGGTTTGTGTGCTTTGGTGCAGGGTGGCTTTCACAGCGTGGGGAGAGTTAAGGCAGCCACAGGCCCTTGCTACCATTCCACAAGCATAAGAAACCCCCCATCCCAGTGCAAACACGGGCTGTGATCACCCAGCACTACCTGCACAAGCTCACGCCTGTCTCCGATGGCAACTGAGACCACAGGAGCTGCCTGGGGGTTGCTCAAGGGCTCGGAACCGAACTGCAGACAAGAAAGACTCCTACCATCATAGTCAATCCTGCCATCGTTGTTTTTATCCCCGTCTTTCATCAGTTCTTCGATGTCGTCCTCAGTGATGGTCTCTCCCGTCGCCTGCAGCATGATTTTCAGCTCCTCAAGGTCGATGTAGCCATCAGCGTTTCTGTGTGAGGACAGAAGAGCTCAGGAGCAGACTGACATACTGGAGAGGGGAAGTTGGGGTGGCTGCACTGTTCCCACCACCCCACTGGGCTGCAGTCGTGGCTCTTACTTATCAAACATCCTGAAGAGATCTGAGAGTTCCTCTTCGGTTTTTCCTTTGCTGTCATCTTTCATACACCGGACCATCATAACAAGGAACTCATCAAAGTCTACAGTGCCGCTGCCTGCAGGCAGAATAAACGCCATCAGTTGGTGCTACGGTGGGTGGACCAAGCAAGAGATCACACTTCTCTTTAGTAACCCAGGAACAAAGCTCATGAGAGCAGCCCTGCAGCAAGAGGCAGCTTTTAGGACACTGATGTGACTTAGGCTGTGGACTGACTTCATCACTGGATTTTTACCTTTTGCAGTCATTTTGCCAAGGCAAAATGAATGAAAAGTCCTACAGGAAGCATCAGTGAATGGAAATTCCTGCTATGGAGATACCTGTCCATCTCACCTAGGTGTTAAAAGCTCCAAAAGGCAGGTATTCATGCAGTGTGGTTTTGCACCAGTGGTACAGTACTGTTTTCCTTTTTTGCCTGATTTTTAACTGCTTTTTTAAATTTTCCATTTATTTCGTATGGTATTTCTGCCCAACTTGCACACAGTTGATTTTATTATGTGTGATCACTGGTACACTGATTTAATCAATATTGACAGTTATTTATGTGTGCGTACACTTGAGCAGTGACAGACTTACCCAATGATAGAATTCTGTAATCGTGGCATTTCTGAAATGGCAGTTTCTACATTCAGCCTATATTTTGTTTTTTAAATGGATCTGTGCAATTTCCAAGTACACGCGCGCGCACACACACACCCCCAAATCAGTTCCAGCAGCCTGATCATTGCAGGAATCATAATTTTTATAGTTTCTCTTTGCTTGGAAATTTCCTAAAGGAACCACACTGAAGTTTGATGGGTGTTTAGTGTGATTCAAAATCACAGTGCTGCAGTTGCTCCCCACAGGCTGCGACGGATCCTGCCAGTGCTGCACAGATGCGGAGCACTCCTGTCCCACACCATGCCCCCCATGCCTGTGGACATGGGGATGGTGCTTGGGAGAGTGGAAGAACCCCATATTTCTCACCATCCTCATCCACTTCGTCTATCATCTCCTGCAGCTCCTCAGGGGTGGGGTTCTGCCCCAGCATCCGCATCACCTTCCCCAGCTCCTTGGTGCTGATGCAACCATCTTCTGCCCCCAGCACGAAGATGTCAAAGGCAGCCTTGAACTCTGGGGAGAGAGCAGAGGAGATTGGGGGCGTGTGTCTTTCTGGGTGGCCCTGGGGCAGAGGGCTCATCCCAGACGTGGCCTCCCCTGCCGATGCACCCCAGCACTGCCTGGGCACGGCATGGTGGGGACACCTGGGCACATGCACAGAGACTGTCTTGCTTGAAATGCTGGTGGATCAAAATCCCTGGGCCATGGCCTGTGTTGGCCAGTCTGGCCAAAGCATTTTCTGGGGTGTAATTGCTGAGGCAGGCTGGGCTGCTGGCCAGGGAGCTCGTCTTTGGGCTGCGGTGTCACGTTAAAGATGCACCTACCATTTTTTTGCTCTTCTGTCAGCTGCTCAACCTGTTAGGGAAACACAGACACCAAGTCATTTTTCTTTGTCAGCATCACTAATTGTTAAAAGAGACATGTTATTTGTTCAGCAGTCTTTGCAGAGGTCAACCAAGCCTCACAGCCGTCACCCTCGTGAACTATGGGATGTATGACCAGTGGGGTTTTGACACCACAACTTTTTGTAGTCTAAGAGATTCTTCCCCTTAAAAAAAATATTCCCAACTCCTTTGAAGCGAGCATCATTTCTCTAGAGCAGCAGCGTCTGATAGGCAGCAGAAGTAGCTTTTGCACAAGCAGGGGAGACCCACTGGGACTAGCATTTGTCTCTGTGAACCATTTGGGGATAACTTCTTGTTGCTGGCAGGCTTCACAGCAGGATGGCTGTGCTGCTGAGGGCTGCTCATGCGTGGGCTGAGGCCAGGTCAGAGGTGGGACGTGCTGGAGAGGTCCCAGGGGAGGGAGAGGCAGACAAGACCATCCCTGGTAGTTGTTTTTCAGCCCTAGATTCAGGAAACTCTCTGCATTATCCAGAGCATTAAGAGCTGGTTGGTCTAGTTCCATCCGAGTCATTTTTTCTTACAAAGGTTTCTGCCTCTGACGGGAGCTGCTGTTTCCTTTAGCCTGCTCTGGGTATCTCCCCGAAGAAATGGCCAGGGTGCCATTAGGTGTTAGCTGAAATGGGCTGGCAGGTTGTTCCCAAACCCTACCTGAATTCATTCCCCACAGATGATCAGCAGGAGCTCATTAGTTAGCATGAATTAATAAAAATAATCAATGAGGAGAGCAAAGAGGAATTTATCACCTCTGTGTTGTACCTCTTTAAGTGCATTTTTTTCTCTTTGGCTTCATTCCTGCCTGCAGGTACTGCTTATCTAAAATTGCTGACCCCACGACCGTGTCCAGCTGCCCCTTTGGTAGCATCCATGAAAACATTGACTTTTCCTTCCCATGCTGGTCAACAGCCTCTCTGGAGTCAGGCAGATATGATCACCTGCCAGGACCACCTCTGGCCTGACCCCACTAATGTCTCTTTACTACCATCCCCATGCAAACAGTGCCAAAACCGTCCATCCCTGCCATGTTTTGGTTGGGGCAGAACCCTGGCATCCTGTCTTTGAGGGAAGGATGATGCTTTTGCTCCGAAGAGCAACAGTTTTGCAAAAGCCACCTGGAAATTCTTCCTGTTTGCAGCAAGAGGCAGCAAAAGTGCATTTTCTTAGTGGTACAGAGCCTGCTGGAAGCAGGCATAGCGCCTTGTGCCACTCCCTGTGCACCAGGAGGCGAAGACTTTCAAGTCAGAAAGCTCTAAGGATGGTGGCAGGAGGAAACCCAAGCCCACTGTGGCCCCGGTGCCGCTGCAGGCAGGCAGCTGCTGGCCCTTCACAGCTATTGTTTGGGCAGAGCGAGGGCAGCCGCTACGCTCCCTCGGTGGATGTGCACGGCCACCGTCCTGCCGCTCGGGTAACATGACCCTCTTGATGCATTCACTATTTATAAGCCTGGGTGAGAGAGGTGCTGGAGATAAAGATGAGCTCCCCGATTGTTCCCAGGCTTTGGTATTTATCCTTGCAGCCCTTTATCTGGACACTTGTCCCTGGCACTGTTCTTAGTGCCGCTTAACAGAGCCTAAAAATGTTCCCAAAATAGCTTTGTGTTTGCACGCCCTTATCTAGGCATGAGTGGGCAGGATGAAAATCCATTGGGTTTTCTGGTTGCTCGTAGGGAATTTGGCATAAATACACTACTAATATATGCCATCAGCATGCAGCGAACAAAAAAATACTCACGTTTGAAGTTTCCTTGACTACTGAAATGATAGATGTGGAGCTACACTGTATGTAAATTAAATGCATTGTAACTATAGAGCGACACTCCTTTTACAGAGATGTCTCTTGAGCTCTTTATAGTGCAGTCTGGACACGGGTGCCATTGGCGGCTTTATTCCTTTTTTTCCCTCCACATCATTTCAGGGACAGGTTTCTCCAGCGTGGGAAGGCAAGCACTAAGCTCACAGCACTGCAGCATCCGCAGTAATGCCAGATTGCCATATTTTGCTTTTATCAGCTCTCTTCTTCATCCCGTGTTTCTATTTGAAGTCAGGCATGGGAAGCTGAAGTTCTTGAATTTTTTTTTTTTTTCTTTCCCAGGCAAATGTTTTTTTACAGTTAAAATCTTGGGGCATAGATCCACAAAAAAGCAGTTTGTCTCAGCTGTGCCTGGCATGGACTTGTTTTGCCTTGTAAAGATGCTGGCAGTCAATGCCCAGGACTCGAGCGCCACATTTACCAGCGTGCCCCCACCTTCAAACCAGCGGCAAAATCCTTATGGGAGCCCATCAGGTCTCTCGCGTGGCCCATTTCCCTGGTCAAGGGCTCTGTGTTTGGGGTGAGTTTTTGGTAGCTGAGGTAGGAAGTTTTGGATTTCTCCTTATTGCTGTAGTTCCTTTTTCTCAGCCAAATTCCTCCGTGGTCCAACTCCACTAAAGCCCACAGGCTTCGGCTAGGGATGACCTTAATCTGTGAATTTTTGTCCATTTCTGGGGCAGAGATTTGGAGAGAGGCTGGAGCTTCCGTGTGGGGAACCCTTTCTTTTTGGGGCTCTCCACCCGTGCTGCAAGCACACTGCCCCAGCTGACGGACAGACCCTTTTGGCTGTGGGCATCACCGGCTTGCAAAGCACTTCAGCCTTTCTCCCTAATAACGGGCATGAGGTCCCTAAACAATAAGGACAGGACCTGTGCCTTGAGTCACAGAGAACATATTTAATTAAAGAGCTTAACTACAGAGCCCTGGAATTGCTTTGATTTTACAGGCCACATTTTTCTCCCTTTCTGGGATGCTGGTTGGGGGACTCAGTGCTGTATTGTACAGCCTTTCCTGAGCCTTTTCACGCTATTGGGATCACTCAGGGGGGTTCCGTTTCACAAGGTTCAAGGCTGACCAAAGGACAAGAGAGGTGTGAGTATTATGGGTTTTTTTCTTCAATTACATGTCAAGCAATATCTTTCTTCCCTCTAAACCCCTTGAAATTAAAATAGGACTTGTATGATGCATTTTTTTCTGCCCTTGGTTAAAATCAAGCCTGATCAAATATATACATATATTAACTCCAGTTATGCAAGGGGGACAGTAGCAATCCACACAATCTAGAATCTGTTTTCATCCTTATTCCGCTTGCGTATCACTGTCTGTCTACGTTACAAAATAATGCAGTGTCCTTATTACAGACCAAATAGTTTGGGTTTACACAGTGAGCACAGCGTGCAGCTGTGTAAGTTAAAATAGCCGTTAGGATGCTCGGCGTTCCCAGAGAGCATAGCTCATATTCTGGATATCTGCAACACAGATATCAGGAGTGGCAAAGTAGAGAAAGATGTTTAGAAATAACTTACAAAAGCTGAGGGGTTTTTTAAATCTACAAGAAAAATATTCAGCTAAGGAAGGGGAAAAGGTAGCAATGGCAGGCTTATAAAGCATGAGAAAGAAGAGGGTGAGGTTTAACCCCTACAAATAATGTTCATTTCATGAGAAACAGTGCTCTGCTTTGTCTGGGCTAAAACCAGCAGCCACTTCTTATACTTTCAAGATTTTGTTTAGATTTATAATTTCACCTACAGGCCATCTCTCTGTCTCACAGGAGAGTGATCGTACACAATTTAGCAGCCCAGTTGAGAGTTTCATGCTTACAAGAGGAATGTGAAACTATCAGAGCCATCAGTGGGAGAGGTCTGCATCCTGGATGAAGATGTTGACTAAAAGATGCCACCCTATAATTATTTATTATTTGCATTTCTCCATTGCATTAATTCCATCATAGCTATGGAGAATCTACTATAAAATCCCCCAAAACCCTTTAACCTCCCCCCCCCAAACCAAGCCCCAGCCCCAAAGGAAGGCACTTACCGCTGCCTTATAAATGTCATCCATGGCTGGAGAGGGTGGGTGAGGGGCCGGGGGACGTCACGGTCACACTCTGCCGGCGCTGCCCCTGTGAGCCTGGCTGATATAGGGGGCTGCCCACCCCGGGGGACGTGACCAGCCCACCGGCAGCCCCATACGCCCATCCCCGTCCCATCCCCGTCCCCGTAGGAATG